AGGTTTCTAGCCGTCGGGTTACCAGGTTCGCTGCCGATCGGTGAAAATAGTTTTTGGGTCCATCTGCTGTAGGCTACACCTAAACTCACTCTGGTTTTAGATCGTTTATGGTTGCTCCTCTTCTGAGAATGATGATGTCACCTTCTGGGCTCAGAAGCAGCTGCTTGACTTGCCAAGTCCACCATTTTCCACTATGTCAGCCTAGCTTTGACTGTTTGGTTAACCCACAAGAGTGCCCTCTATTGGCTGGTAGATGACAACATAAACCCAGTGTCATACCCATCTAAATAAATATTTAATTATTTTTTAAATGAAAATGAGTCCTTGAAGTCCTTTTGTGCTGCTTCCCAACCGTCCTGGAGCACATGCATGTACGCGAGTCCCAGTGGGTTCTGTTTACCAAGGCCACAGCAGGCTTGGCTGTTAAACAGTGTGTGTGTGTGTGTGTGTGCGTGTGTGTGTGTGTGTGTGTGTGTGTGTGTGTGTGTGTGTGTGTGTGTGTGTGTGTGCGTGCGTGCGTGCGCGCGCGTGTGTGTGTGTGTGTGTGTGTTTATGTGTGTGTGTGTGTCTGTGTGTGTGTGTGTGTGTGTGTGTTTATGTGTGTGTGTGTGTATGTGTGTGTGTGTTTATGTGTGTGTGTGTGTGTGTTTATGTGTGTGTGTGTGTGTGTGTGTGTGTGTGTGTGTTTATGTGTGTGTGTTTATGTGTGTGTGTGTGTGAGTGTGTGTGTGTGTGTGTGTGTGTGTGAGTGTGTGTGTGTGTGTGTGTTTATGTGTGTGTGTGTGTGTGTGTGTGTGTGTGTGTTTATGTGTGTGTGTGTGTGTGTGTTTATGTGTGTGTGTTTATGTGTGTGTGTGTGTGAGTGTGTGTGTGTGTGTGTGTGTGTGTGTGTGTGTGAGTGTGTGTGTGTGTGTGTGTGTGTGTGTGTGTGTGTGTGTGTGTGTGTGTGTGTGTGTGTGTGTGTGTGTGTGTGTGTGTGTGGCTGAGGCTGATGGGGGTGTTATATCACAGGCTCTGATGCCGTGGCCAGTTCACAATCTGTAAATCGATTTGTATCCTCCTGACTTTGCTGGTCCTGTATCACAGGCGCTCGTGTGGGGAGCATTAAAACGGAGAGCTACAGCCTGCAGCTGCTCTGTAATTAATCAATAGCTCTCAGCAGCGTGGCTCAGACCATGCCCACGGTTATGTCATCGTTGCTAGTCACACTCACACCACTAAATCTGAACGTGATAGGATGGCTGGTGTTCAGTAGGGATGTCCTGATCAGGAGGGTTTCTCCATAAGACATAAGACTCAGTCACGTACTGTCACTGACTTTTACACAACCAACCTTTAAACAGACCAGCAGTCAGTTAGAGCTGCTAAGATGAGTACATGAGACTTCCTGTGGAGGATCCATAATGTTTCATACAGGGTGCACTAATGGCCCGTGTTCTTACTGAGCACGGCTCGGCTCGGCTAACGTGACTCGGCTCAGGTCACCGTGAGCGGCTCACACTGAGACACGGCTCTAGGGCAGGCGTCACCAACCTGTGTGGAGCTGAGAGCTACTTCACCATCAGTGATCCTTATGAAGGTCTAAGGTTTGCCATGCTCACAACACTGACCTTTGACCTAGAATACCTCTCAGTTTAAATAAACTTCCTGTTTAATAACATATTTTGAGTTTTTATTTTTTACAGCATCATTTCCAAATCTGTATCAGTGCAACTGAGATAAAAACGTCTCTTTCCTCTGTGGGCGTGTCCCTTTAGGAGTCGCCTCAGCCAATCATTTGTCTCCATGTTGACCTGTCTTCTGCGTCCTCTACCTTCACAATACATAACTTCATGTCCTCTTTCTCCACAGCCATAAATCTCTTCGCATTACTTGTTTTTTAACACGGAAAAGAGTTTTTACCTTTTCTTAGCAAAAACGGTAAAACAACCCAAGTTATGCAGTTAGAAGAAACACAGAATGAAGACATTCATCTCCTGGTTGGTCTTCCTCTCAACCTCCTGCCTGGTAGCCCTAACCTCAGCATCCTTCTGCTGATGTCATCATTGTCTCTCCTCTGGCCATGTCCAAATCATCTCAGTCTGGGTTCTCTGACTTTATCTCCAGAACCTCTAACATGAGCTGTCCCTCTGATGGACTCATTCCTGATCCTATCCATCTGGAGCTCCACAACCTCCAGTTGTCTCCCGTCTTGTCCTCATGGAAACTGTCTCTAAGCCAGACAACATGGCTGCTCTCACTGCTGTCTTCTACACCTTTGATCACACCTGACACTTTTTTCCACCCATTTCAACCTGCTTCATATGTGCACTGCTGTCTCACTCCTCAATGCTGTCTCACTCCTCAATGCTGTCTCACTCCTCAATGATGTCTCACTCCTCAATGCTGTCTCACTCCTCAATGATGTCTCACTCCTCAATGCTGTCTCACTCCTCAATGCTGTCTCACTCCTCAATGCTGTCTCACAGCTCAGTGCTGTCTCACTCCTCAATGCTGTCTCACTCCTCAATGCTGTCTCACTCCTCAATGATGTCTCACAGCTCAGTGCTGTCTCACTCCTCAATGATGTCACTCCTTAATGCTGTCTCACTCCTCAATGCTGTCTCACTCCTCAGTGCTGTCTCACTCCTCAGTGCTGCTCACAGCTCACTGCTGTCTCACTCCTCAATAATGTCTCACTCTTCAATGATGTCACTCCTTAATGCTGTCTCACTCCTCAGTGCTGTCTCACTCCTCAATGCTGTCTCACTCCTCAATGATGTCTCACTCCTCAGTGCTGTCTCACTCCTCAATGCTGTCTCACTCCTCAGTGCTGTCTCACTCCTCAATGCTGTCTCACAGCTCAGTGCTGTCTCACTCCTCAATGCTGTCTCACTCCTCAATGCTGTCTTACTCCTCAGTGCTGTCTCACTCCTCAATGCTGTCTCACTCCTCAATGCTGTCTCACTCCTCAGTGCTGTCTCACTCCTCAATGCTGTCTCACAGCTCAGTGCTGTCTCACTCCTCAATGCTGTCTCACTCCTTAATGCTGCCTCACTCCTCAATGATGTCACTCCTCAATGCTGTCTCACAGCTCAGTGCTGTCTCACTCCTCAATGCTGTCTCACTCCTTAATGCTGCCTCACTCCTCAATGATGTCACTCCTCAATGCTGTCTCACAGCTCACTGCTGTCTCACTCCTCATTGCTGTCTCACTCCTTAATGCTGCCTCACTCCTCAATGACGTCAATCCTCAATTCTGTCTCACAGCTCACTGCTGTCTCACTCCTCATTGCTGTCTCACTCCTCAGTGCTGTCTCACTCCTCAATGCTGTCTCACTCCTCGATGCTGTCTCACTCCTCAATGATGTCACTCCTTAATGCTGTCTCACTCCTCAATGATGTCTCACTCCTCAATGCTGTCACTCCTCAATGCTGTCTCACTCCTCAATGCTGCTCACAGCTCAGTGCTGTCTCACTCCTCAGTGCTGTCTCACAGCTCAGTGCTGTCTCACTTCTCAATGCTGTCTCACTCCTCAGTGCTGTCTCACTCCTCAATAATGTCAATCCTCAGTTCTGTCTCACAGCTCAGTGCTGTCTCACTCCTCAAGGCTGTCTCACAGCTCAGTGCTGTCTCACTCCTCACTGCTGTCTCACAGCTTTGACTCATGTTCTACAGTTTTCCACCCCTCATCCCCAGGTCTCCATGTCCTGCATGTTTTCCTTGTCTCTGTTTCAGCACACTTGCTTTACATACCAGCATTGCCTCATCATGAGGACATTGTGCTGCAGAAGCCTGTTAATCACTCATTCATGAAAGTCAGGTGTGTGGCAGCAGGGAAACACTTGTGTTTCAACAGGCAACATGAAAACATGCAGGACAGGGTCTCCTGAGGACCATGGTTGGGGAACACTGGTCTAACATTCTTCTCTGCCACTCCAGACCTTCTCAGCACTGTTGAAAGCTTTCTCTAAATTTACAAAGATGCATAAGCTTCTGACCTTCTCTGCACTTCTCCACCAGCACCCTTGAAGCAAAGGGAGTATCAGTAGCACACTTTCTTGGCATCAACCCGTTCTGCTGCTCACAAATGCTCACTTCTGACATAAGCCGAGCTTTCCCCACGCTTTCCCAGACCTTCACTTTATAACTCATTAGCTTTGTTCCTCTGTAGTTCTCACAGTTTCCATTGTGCTGCCATGTTTGTAATCACATGTAGCATGTAGAGAGAAAGTGTGATTTAACAAAATAGCAGCAGAAAATAATTCTACTGTTTTCGTACAGGCTTGAGGGAAACTTTTAGGGGTTCTGGGGCACCAGGTTGTTGACCTCGGCTCTAGTGGGTTGGCCTGTGGGGGTGGGGGTGTTTGGACTTATCAGTGACAATCGCAGTTATCACCCGGCCTCACAGACACAACAATGGCAGAGATGCTGAACATTCTGCTCAGGCTGGCTCGGCACCAGGAAACAACCAGAGGCTCCGCCCCCTGGCTAATTGGTGGCCAACAGTTAATGATGTCACATTTCTGCTAGGAACCACAACAAAACAGGTACTGAAATTTGGGTGAAATACTACCCGTGCTGTTGGGTAAGGCTGGGAAACTGAATCGTACTCAGCTCTATGCAGAGTTCTGACCCACTTTAACCATCTGACTGGATGAATAAAAACACACAACGTGTGAGGAGATGAGAGCAAACAAGCTCATTTTATTCCTGCTGATCTGACTTCTTGTTTTCCTAAATTGTCAGTGGTGTCTCTGAGCTCGCCACAGCTTCTAAAACCACAGAGAGGTCAACAGCAGAGCAGGAGCTAAGAGTCACCATGTTTGTTCTGTCCAGATAAAAAACCTGGAAGGAATCTTGATCATCAGATCCAGAATGGAACTTCCCTGAAGACAACAGGTATAGCCACTGATTCACTTCTACACATGTAGAGACATCATAGTCTTAATGAAGCCACTCCCCCTCCCCGTAACAAACACCTGACAGGTGTTCAGCTCCATGAGATGATCCACCTTACCTCCAAATCCAGGTCTCATTGTAAAGTCGTGGTCATCTATCCTCAGTATCTGCTCTGACTTTGTGCCCCGTGCTTTGGTTATATCTGGACTTCTTTTGATCACAGAGCTGAAAGACAACAGGTGGAGATGTCACAGGTGCCTACAGAGCAGAACAGAGGACTGCAGAGCAACCAGGCACGCACGCACACACACACAGACACGCACACGCAAGCACGCGTGCACACACACATACACACACATGCACACGCACGCACACACACACACGCGCACACGCAAGCACACGTGCACACACACATACACACACATGCACACGCACGCACACACACACACACACACTGTTAGACTTTGCTGGCATTTGCTAGTATATTACTGTAAAATCAACAGTAAAATACCTCTAAAAGTGTTTGCAGTGTAGTACTGTAATTTCCATGCACTGTTAGACTGTGCTGTCATTCCTATAGTATATTACTGTAAAATCAACAGTAAAATACAGCTAAAATCTTTGCAGTGTAGTACTGTATTTGGCATGTAATGGTGAGTAAATTCAACAACATCACATATTTTTTCATGGTATGTCACTGTTTTAAAGAAAACAGGTAAAGTACAGCAAACATAAAAATTTGGTATACCTCTGACATTTTTCTGTCTTTGGTTTTTCAGTGGACATTTTAAAATACCTTGCTCAAATCTTCATTCAGAGTGCATTACCAAAACAATTCTTTGTGAGATCACCAAAGAAAAAACACTATGCCCCATAGTAAAGAGAAAATGCTCCAAGAATAAATGTTTTAATTGAGCTATTATAAAAGCATACAGTATGTAAACACTCACTAAAATCTGTTTAAAAATATTTTAATTATAATATAAAAAAAGATTGGATGCTTTAACCAAGCCTACATTGTAAATAAAAAAATCATCTCAGATTGATAAAATCATATTTAAGCTATACTATTAGTCCTACTGCCTAAATGACAGTAATTGACATCTGCCTGGTGGGCGATTTAAACTGATAAATGTTTACAGAATTTTATCAAAAAACTGACATGATACCAGTTTACGACTTTATACTTGTAAGAAATTTTTTTTAAAATATTCCATAAAATATTGATCATTTCAAAATTCCATCAGTTGTTTTTTTGCCTGTTTTCATAGCAATATTATAGGATAATTACAGCCACCAAAATTATGCTGTTGTCTATCTATTCTGTTCACTATAGATGTAACAAAAAATTCAGACAGCTATAGATGGAATCTTAAGGAAATGGGCCAAGGAAGAACTCATCAAAGGTATTTTCCACCCCTAGGTATGTTTTATGTTGTTGGGTTTCCCAGAATTAGCTAAGTGAAAAATAATTCATCACTTTCACCTGTTACAACCTGGATATTTGCTTTCAAAACAACAACATTGGAAACACAATATATGATCGTTGTCTTGCACTTTTAGGAAAAGAAGAAATAAAAACATTTTCCAAACGCGTATCCCGAATGTGACCCATTACAGGGGAGTTGGTCAGTCTGGTAAGTATTTTACTGCATGTTTTGGCTTTTAAACTAGCTATAGCTGTGATCTTCATGCAAATTCTGCAAAATGGTCCCTGTCCATAAATGTGTAAACACCTTATTGAAGTTACCCGAATGCTTTAAAAACTGACAAACAAGGTGATTAATTTTCAGCTGCTACCCATGCAAAGTAATGTGATGCTTAAAACCAAATTTGTTAGGATCTACAAACAATGCATAATGTATTTTTTCAATTGTCAGCATGTGCTTGTATTTTGGACTGATAGCCAAAGCTAGATTTAACTTAAAACATATAATATTTAATGATGTTCTTTACCTCATGGACAATCCAGATTCTAAAATATCTGATGTTTTCTTTTTGTTAAATATTCTATGTAAATAATTTATTCATTCATGTAACTGAAAAAACAGTTCTCTGTTTATCATTTTCTTGAATTACTTTTCCCTATATTTTAGTCACTCAAGCACATCTCAGATATGAATAAGAAAACTGCTTGTGCCAAAATGTTTCTGCCACTTATTGTTTTGCTCTTGATCATTTTTTCTTTTTCTTTTTTTCTTTTCAAAGGTAAAAGGATTTGCTTCACATTTTCTGTAATGGAGACTGTTATCAAAGTCAGTTTGTTTCCTTGACTTCTCTTGTGTATGACATTTGTTTTCAATAAAGTTAGGAGCAAAAAAAAACAAAGGCTAATTTGGCAGTAAGTGTTTGCAGGTGAAGGCTGCTGGCAGTGCATGCTGTGATATGCAGAACAGGTTGGAGAGGTTTAACTCTGATATTGAGGTCAAATAATTTTCCTTTTTGTGGCCAGTGTGAAAGCTATACTACTTTCCGTTTTTTGAGGGGATGTTACATTTTAGGCATATTTGAGCTTTTTATGACTATTTAGCCTACTGTTAAGGTACTGTTTAGTTTTCTATGCATTTTTGTTGTATTGCTTAAACTATCCCTGGAAAAGAAACTATTGAAGATATAGGGTACTTCAAATGTTTCTCTGTAAATATTGTGGATTCCGTGCACACAAATTTATATTGTTCAGTTCACATGTTAGAAGCCATAAACACAATGCAAACTATATGTTTTCTTGTGGACTTGAGAATTGTAAAGCCACTTTTAAAACATTCACTGCCTTTCATTCCCATATGCACAGAAATCATAGACGAGGGGAGAACACTGAGGAGGAGATCTGGAAGTTCACTGGAAATCTTAGCTGACAAGTTCCTGGATGTGGGTATGTTGGACAAAATATTAAAACTCTTTGTGCCCATCTGAGGATCCATATTAAAGATGGAAAAAAAGTATTATGCCCATTTAAAGGTTGCTCTAAATATTTCAGTGTTCGAATATCATTCTCTAGTCATATTTCTCGGAAACACATGCAGTCAAAGACTGTTCAACAGACAAGTCAACAAGAAATTGGTGACATTAACATGGTACAAGGACAGACAGGACACCTTAGAAGACAGACATTTACAGAATACTACAAATAATGAAGAGCCATTTCTAAATCAATTGGCAATGTTTTATTTAAAAATGCAAGCTAAAATGCTTTTGCCAGCCAGCACTATACAGTGCATCATAGAGGAATTCCAAGATCTTCACAGCTCTGGAGTGCACAATGTTCTTGGAAAACTGTTTGATAAACTTTCTGCATTTGATATACCTGAAGCATCTATAAACAATATTATTCAGGAACTTTCACAAAATGACTTCCTATCACATTATCCAGAGCTTATACTTCACTTTGGGCCACTTATTCATTTATGGACTCTTAGGTTTGAGAGCAAGCACTCTTATTTCAAACAATGTTCAAGAAAAGTGCATAACTTTGTCAATTTATGCAAGACTCTGGCTGAACGGCATCAGCTACTGCAGTCCTACCTCTTGGCAGGGCAAATATTTCCACCTACAATTCAAATAATTGGAGAAGCAAATGATTATAGACATCATCTTTACAACTCTGCAACTCAGGATGCTGTGACAAAAGCAGATGTCTCTAATCATAACATGCTAGATGTGTCAGCAGTTGTCTACAAAGGTACCAAATATGTCAAAGGTCATGTTGTTGTAGTAGATCACACTGATGAGAGCACTGAGTTTGGGAAAATAGTTGTGATACTTGTTAATGATTCTAAATTGTACTTTGTGCTAGAATTGCATCAGTCAGTATGCCTTATTGACCTTGGACTTTATTGCCTACACTGCCCTACAGACAGAAGTTTGTGTGTAAATGCTGACAGTCTGATGGATTATTACCCAATACCCCTTTATAACATGGCAGATCTTTTTGTTGTTTCCCTGCACCATTCAGTTTCTTCATGATTTTTTCCCCTTATATTTCAGTGATGGAAATTGAAGATGAAATCACATGCATCCTGCCAGAATTGGAGAGACAGAAAGTACTGTCCTTTGCAGACCACCTGAAAGATGTCATTGGTGTCCAACAAAAAAGTGACCTTCTGTTAGTAGAGGCAGATGATCTCAAACATTTTCTTACACCAATTCAAATACGTAAACTACTACTTACATTTAAGAAAGGTTTGTATACATTTTGTATACATCTGACTATTTATCAGCTGTAGGTCACACAGGTCACTGATTCGTTTCTTTTTTACATTATGACCATCAGTTGCCAATTTCTTCTCACTATACCATTCTGGATGTTAAACTACAAAGCATTTTATTGAAGAGACTTTTACCGGATATTGGTATGTTTTTCTGTTTTAATGGAAGAAATCAAATAAAAAAAGATAATCCAGTGCATTTTGTTTACATCTTGATCTTAAATATATCCAACTATTGCACAAACAAGTGTGCAGGTGTGTGTGTGTGCACGCACAAGTATAAACCTTTTATTTTGGGAGCCTTTATTTTATTACAGTATGTTACCGTTTACTCGTATCTTAGTAAAATATGACACGAAAAAGGTAAATTACTGCCCACAAAAACACAGTAACCTCTGACAGCGTTGACTATTTTCAGTAGCAAAAGTGTATGTTTACGGTAAATCACTGGAAAAGGTATTGCAGCATACCTTGAAATGAGTTTACGGTAACATACCATAAACATACAGCACAACACATATTTATTAATCACGGTAAAATGTTGTGTTATTGATGTAATTTTCTTGTGAAATATATTACGGTATTTTACTGGCAACACTGCATGCCGGTGAGATACTGGCAACAGCGTTGCCAGTATCTCACCGGCATGCAGTCAGATGGTTTTTTACAAAAATATAATAGACGGTATAATTCTGGGATCAACACTAAGTGGTAAGTTACCGTTAACCATGCATCACGGTATCATGCTGGCAACAGTGTTGCCAGTTTATTACCGTAAAGTGGATAGGTAAAGTCTAACAGTGCACCACAATAGAACCAGTGATTGTGTATCAGTCATTAACTCATTCACTCCCAGACGTTCCTGGTCAGCCCTTTGCTGCCAGCAATTTTCAAAGTTTGGATTTTAAATGACGACTTTTGTCGTCAATGGCAGTGAATGAGTTAATCACATGCAGACTAATGTATTATTAGCTCTGATGCAGTTGCGGTCCTCCACAGTAACAACGGTACCTGTCTGTCCTGCCCGCCGTTCCCTCCCTCAGTTGTAAAGCTTTCTGTCATCTTGCTGGAGTCGTTATTTATGGTTAAATAATCTTATGAACTTCCTAATTCTGAAGGCTAAGAAAGGATTATATTGGGCTTAGTGAGAAACAGGAAAGTAGGCCATGTGTCTCTGGATGTACGGGAAACCGTGGAATGATTAGGATGTTGACCTTCTGCCTCTAGGTCCACTCATGCTTCCTTAATCTCCACCGTGAGATTGTTCCAACTCGAGCCTCGGTTATCTTTCTAATAGAACTAGAAAAGAAAATAATACCTGCTAATCTGGTGATCAGACGCTTCAGCCGGAGACATCTCTCGTTTCAGTCTGAAAGTATGAAACAAAGGATTTATTTAGGTTTTCAAAAACGATGGAGAAGTGGCAACCTAATGACTCTGAACTGCTCCAGCAAACTACAATGCTTGTAGTGAAGTGCATGCTGGGATAAAAACTAACAACACAAACTCTAAATACTCTTCATGTCGCTCTGTTCGCTACAGGAAGTGGCCAATGAGACTAAACAGTTAGCAAAAACTCCAGTTTTTAGTAATTAATGATGTAAAAATGCAGAATTTATACGTTACAGATCTGTAACTATTTGTCATCATAACCATTTAATGATTATGTGGGCTGTCTTTATGTTCTTTAACTAGTTAACTACTCTTTAACCTGTCAGCTGTAAGTAGAGGATTGAAGAAAAAACTGTGCAAACAACTGGATGAAAGATTTCATCCATCGATAGTTGCTGTTAACACCTAAAAGCATTAAAATCAGTTAAGTGTAGCGATTGCTAAGAAGCCATAAACACAACGAACCAAGCTGCTAAAAATAAAACGAATAAAGACACGCGGGCGCTCGGTGCCCGGGGAAGCCAACACAAACGGGTTTCAGCCAGTTTCTACAGGATGATGGTCAGTGTTGTGGTGTGTCACAGATACTCCTGTTGATCAGTAACGGGCTGTAGGACAGCCAGTAGTTCATGTTTGGTATCAGTAATAATAATAATAATAATAATAATAATCAGATTTTATTTTGCAGACACTGAGGAAACACAATAATCAGAAACCTAAGAAGACGTTAGTTTTAGTAATCTTTTCAGTTTTTGTTTCTTTGACCAAAACATTGTTTCACTTTTAGATTTCTAGACTTTCTAAATTCCCCTAATCTCTAAATTTCTAAAGTCAAGTCAAGAATTGGGTTTCTATAGCAACGGGTCATCCTTTACTCTTTCTGCAACGCAGACCTTGGTCAACATGACGATTGTTGGTGTACAGCTGCTCACACACACACACACGCACGCACGCACGTGCGCGCGCGCTCACACACACACACACCTAAACAAAGAAAACAAATTAGGTCAGTAAAATGATTCGAAGTGGAGGAAAGGCACTTCTACATCAGGTCGGCTCTGCAGAAGAACCTTCACAGTTTTTTTTATTTTTTGTATATAAAGCGCCAAACAACAACAAGTCGTCTCAAGGACCTGCACACAGTAAACAGCACAGGTCAGGTCATTAAGCCAATCAGTAACAAGTTTCCTATATAAGGAAGCCTGCAGGCTACATCGAGTCACTGACTAGTGTCAGAGTCTTCACAGCAATCCTCATACAAGTCCCCACCAGTGTGTGAATGGGTGTGTGAATGGGTGTGTGAATGGGTGAAGGTGCTCTATCAAATACAGGCCATTCACCATACTAAGCAAGCATGCAGCGACAGTGGAGAGGGACTCCGCTGCTGCAAAAACATCCTGGTAATAAAGATTACAGTGGACTGGGTAAAAACTATACAGGTGTAGCGATAAATATGAATTTACATCAATATTTATCAGATGTGGTGGGGACTTAGCTCGTCTTCATCGTTTATAATTTAATATTAAATAACTGGAAGCACCACCCAGTTTTGTCTGTGTGAACTGGGACACTGGATTTAATATTTATCTTCTTATCAGTGTAATCAGTCTCAGAGTTAACACCACATCTTAATCCAAAGGATGAATTCTTGACAGAATAAACCGATTATTCCAGAGAATTGCTATGATCAGGTGTTATTTACGTTTTATTACAAAATCAGTTAATACATTGACAAAAGGAGCAAACACAGCTTATAGTTTCATGCATGGAATCAAGAAAACCGATAACCCAAAGCTTTATGGCAGTGATGGGAAATAACTGATCCGTAATGAAAGTGGAAGTTCGGAGACACCAGGATTATTAGAAAAAACTTCTATAAGGAGAACAAGTGTGTGTGTGTGTGTGTGTGTGTGTGTGTGTGTGTGTGTGTGTGTGTGTGTGTGTGTGTTCCTATGGGTATAGGAATACAGGAGTGTGTGTGTGTGTTCCCATGGGTATAGTAATACAGGAGTGTGTGTGTGTGTTCCTATGTGTATAGTAATACAGGAGTGTGTGTGTGTGTGTGTGTGTGTTCCTATGGGTATAGGAATACAGGAGTGAGTGTGTGTGTGTGTGTGTGTGTGTTCCTATGGGTATAGTAATACAGGAGTGTGTGTGTGTGTGTTCCTATGTGTATAGTAATACAGGAGTGTGTGTGTGTGTTCCTATGGGTATAGGAATACAGGAGTGTGTGTGTGTGTGTGTGTTCCTATGGGTATAGGAATACAGGAGTGAGTGTGTGTGTGTGTGTGTGTGTGTGTGTGTGTTCCTATGGGTATAGTAATACAGGAGTGTGTGTGTGTGTTCCTATGTGTAGAGTAATACAGGAGTGTGTGTGTGTGTTCCTATGGGTATAGTAATACAGGAGTGTGTGTGTGTTCCTATGGGTATAGTAATACAGGAGTGTGTGTGTGTGTTCCTATGGGTATAGTAATACAGGAGTGTGAGTGTGTGTGTGTGTGTGTGTGTTCCTATGGGTATAGTAATACAGGAGTGTGTGTGTGTGTTCCTATGGGTATAGTAATACAGGAGTGTGTGTGTGTGTGTGTGTGTGTGTGTGTGTTCCTATGGGTATAGGAATACAGGAGTGTGTGTGTGTACCTATGGGTATAGGAATACAGGAGTGAGTGTGTGTGTGTGTGTGTGTGTGTGTGTGTTCCTATGGGTATAGTAATACAGGAGTGTGAGTGTGTGTGTGTGTGTGTGTGTGTTTGTGTGTGTGTGTGTGTGTGTGTGTTCCTATGGGTATAGTAATACAGGAGTGTGTGTGTGTTCCTATGGGTATAGGAATACAGGAGTGAGCGTGTGTGTGTGTGTGTGTGTGTGTGTGTGTGTGTGTGTGTGTGTGTGTGTGTGTGTGTGTGTGTGTGTGTGTGTGTGTGTGTGTGTCTGCTCTGTCTTCTCCATCCCCAGTGAGTCGTGGAGGATGGCTGCTTATACTGAGCCAGGATTCTCTGGAGGTTTCTTCCTGTCAAAAGGGAGTTTTCCTCTCCACTGTCGCTGCATGCTTGCTTAGTATGAGGATTGCTGTATAGTCACTGACACTAGTCAGTGACTTGATGCAATTAGCTGGGTTCCTTATATAGGAATCATTATTTCTGATTGGCTTAATGAACTGACCTGAATTGTAATGTTTATTATGTGAAGTGCCTTGAGACGACTCTTGTCGTGATTTGGCGCTTTATAAATAAACTTGAAATGAATTGACTTGCATCCCCCTCACACGTGTCCAGGTGCAGCAGCTGTCTGCATCCCAAAAGCACCTAGATTCTATTAATATGGAGAACATTAAAGGGTCTAATTCCTAAGGTAAAGAGCCTAAATACATCCAACACAAATCCCACCTAGATAACACAACCTAACCCTAATCCGAGCATACGCATCTGTTTTCAGAGCCAAAGTGAGTCCAGTCAGGCTCACAATGAAAAAGCTGGTCCACCTCAGGCCATCTGAATAACCCCCCCATCTCAACTCAGACATGTGACCCATTAACATCCGTCCACGGTAGGCTCGGTTCTGTGTGTTTGCTAACGAGTGCATTCAGGCTTTTAGTGATCATGTTGGGAGAGCTGGTCTAGGGTTGAATATTTGGTGCGTGCTGCTGCAGAGGAGCACAGGGGACGGATACCAGTGAGGAACAGTGACAGGTACTGATGATGATGACCACATGATCGGACTCGTCTCCTTTTTAAGGACAGAGAAGTAAAAACTTGTGACAACATAATGCTGCTGAGTCAGAAGTTCTGGCTAATCTTTATTATTCCCAATCCCGCTCAATGGTCAACTTTCCTCGTGTGGTCACCATCGACATGTACTGTACATATGTGGGGGTCACCCATGAAGACAGTGGGTTAGGGTCGAATAAAAATGTTGACAACTTTCTGAAAAAAAGAAAGAAGACATTTTTTAAACTCAAAGTCAATTTCAAAAGCAGTTAATATTGATATGAATTTTAATGTCTATTAATATTAATATTAGTTATAAAAATTCCATCCATCCATCCATTTTCATCCGCTTATCCGGAGTCGGGTCGCGGGAGCAAGAACCTAAGTCGAGAGGCCCAGACTTCCCTCTCCCCAGCCGCTTGGGCCAGCTCCTCCGGGAGAATCCCAAGGCGTTCCCTGGCCAGATGAGAGACATAGTCCCTCCACCGTGTCCTGGGTCTACCTTTAGGTCTCCTCCCGGTTGGACGTGACTGGAAAACCTCACCAGGGAGGCATCCTAACGAGATGCCCGAGCCACCTCAACTGGCTCCTCTCGATGTGGAGGAGCAGCAGGTCTACTCCGAGCCCCTCCCAGATGACCGAGCTTCTCACCCTATCTCTAAGGGAGAGCCCAGCCACCCTGCAGAGAAAACTCATTTCAGCCGCTTGCATCCGTGATCTCGTTCTTTCGGTCACTACCCAAAGCTCGTGACCATAGGTGAGGGTAGGAACGTAGATCCACCGGTAAATCGAGAGCTTCGCCTTCTGACTCAGCTCTCTCTTCACCACGACAGATCGGTACAACGCCCGCATCACTGCAGATGCAGCACCAATCCACCTATCGATCTCACGCTCCAGTTTTCCCTCACTCGTGAACAAGACCCCGAGATACTTAAACTCCTCCACTTGGGGCAGGACCTCATCCCTGACCCGGAGAAGGCATTCTACCCTTTTCCAAATCAAGACCATGGTCTCAGATTTAGAGGAGCTGATTCTCATCCCAGCTGCTCCACACTCGGCTGCAAACCGCTCCAGCGAAAGCTGAAGATCACGTTCTGATGAAGCCAACAGGACCACATCATCTGCAAAAAGCAGAGACCTGATCCTCAGGCCACCAAAACGGATGCCCTCCACACCTTGGCTGCGCCTAGAAATCCTGTCCATAAAGGTTATGAACAGAATCGGTGACAAAGGGCAGCCTTGGCGGAGTCCAGCTCTCAATTACAAAATAAACATCCAAAGTTTTTATTTGCTGTTGATGAATTTTTAATGTTTTAGTATTTTCTGTTTTAAGTTTTCCTCTCCACTGTCGCTGCATGCTTGCTTAGTATGAGGATTGCTGTATAGTCACTGACACTAGTCAGTGACTTGATGCAATTTGCTGGGTTCCTTATATAGGAAACATTATTTCTGATTGGCTTAATGAACTGACCTGAATTGGAATGTTTATTATGTGAAGAGCCTTGAGACGACTCTTGTCGTGATTTGGCGCTTTATAAATAAACTTGAATTGAAGAGTTCGTGCTCATTCGCGTTTCTGAAATTCAGATAATGAGATCATTGAGTTCCTATTTATTTATGTTATTTCAGTGATAATTTAGTTTGTTTTAAAGAAACCATGTTGTTGCATTCAACAACCGGCTAAAATGCACTTGAAATGAGATCTCGCTCACACATTTTTTCATCAGTATCCTCGCTCTTTAAGATCAGATCCGTTTGTGATCATCACACTAGTGTTTGTTTTTAGGGGGGGCTAAAGCAACACTTGCACCGGGGCCCAGCTAAAACTTGCTACGCCACTGGCCGGCTGTTTCTCCTCTGATGTTAATGGGTGGAGAACCTCTCACACCAGTGATGTTCTGGTGCTAAATACATGAGTGTGTGATGAGAGGACCCAGGGAGGTGCGGCGGTTGCACCGACAACCCGTTGGTTCAATGGTTGCTTTTGGTCAGAAATGTGGTATTGGTGGTGGGTTTTAGACAAAAGTGAGAGAACCACTTTATTTTTTTGTTCCCTTTTGTTTTTAATTTCCACAATACGTATATCCATAGCTACACTACGCTAGAATGATGTTAAGAGGCATGAAAAAAGTTTTATTTTCCAAATTTGCCACTGCAGCTTTGATCTGGTTAAATAACCGCGGTTTCCTTGGTGACCAAATGACCCGTGATTCTGACTTTCTTTCCTTTTAATCTCGGTCATCAAAAATGCCTCGTAGAAACACAACAGGTACGTGTCTGTGAACAGAGACCCCTGCACGGATCAGATCAGGGTTTGAGACTCGGGCAATTGTCACACAAAAACCCTGGTTTCTCACGCACACACACACACACACACACACGTACGCATGCACGCACGCATGCACACACACACACACACACACACGTACGCACGCATGCACACACACACACACACACACTCACACACACACACACACACACACACGCACACACACACACACACACGCACACACACACATGCATGCATGCATGCAGGCACGCACATACACACACACACACACACACACGTACGCATGCACGCACGCATGCACACACACACACACACACACACGTACACACGCACGCACGCATGCACACACACACACACACACACTCACACACACACACACACACGCACACACACACACACACACACACGCGCACACACACACGCATGCATGCATGCAGGCACGCACATACACACACACACACACACACACACACACGCACGCACGCACGCACGCATGCACACACACACACGCATGCATGCATGCAGGCACGCACATACACACACACACACATGCACGCAGGCACGCACATACACACACACACACACACACACACACACACACGCATGCACGCACGCACGCACGCACACACACACATGCATGCACGCAGGC